CCTCTGGTGTAGAGATTTGCTCAGGAGAACCTACCTCAAATCAAACTGACCCGAGGAAGGCACTGTAATAAAGGATTAAGGGAAAGGAACATACTGGTTGTGGTAAGGGACAGGAAAAAGTGTAAGGAATGGGGGATTGAAGGTTACAAAAACATTTTCCCCAAAAAGTGGGATTATGAGGTGGTGATGTAGCAGTTTCCTTTAATTTCCACATTATTTGCACAATTTTTGAATAACGGTGGCCATTCAACTAATATAATATGGCAAGAAAACATAATGAGTAGCAAGATCATGTAACTGAAGAACAAAAAGTGAAACTATTTAGGAGATAATCCTAGGCAATAAAAAAAAAGAATGTTCAGTTTGGAGATAATAAAATGCAATCATTAGGATCTCACATTGCAACTCTGCAGGTGCTCCTGCCAGTCAAGTCACTCAGGGAGTTTCAGGAAGTACATAAGCTAGTGGCTGGGTATTTTGATTCTTTCCAGGGACATACAAATTGCCTTAGACAAAATAACATTGCCCCTACCCGGTTTGAGCCTTTTCTCCAAGCTCAAGCAGAATCATTGTTGAGGTCTGAAAACATTTAGTTGACCTCTGTACTTTATCATTACTTTTTATTTTCACTTATATTGGTTGCCAGTAAAAAGACATTTACCGACACTTGCCACACTGTGGTACTTCTGTAGCATTCCCCGTACTTAGAATTGCAAGTAGTTGCAGCATCTCTGCTGCTGCAGGGTGGTAACTGTTGGTGAAGGCTTTCTCGTGATGATTGCTGTACCTCTGTTACCCTTCCCTTTTTGTCAGGAGCAGCAACAGAGGTGCCGAAATATCACGAGAGGTTGGTTTCACAGTGTTTGCTACCCAACAACAAGAAGAGGGATCCTAGAAATCTTACAAGACATCCTGTTCTAGGGAGATTTCTACTGCAATTTCAGTCTAAAGAGGGTCTACTACTTTTTGATAATTTTGCGGTAAGCATCAAACCATTTGCTCATTTGAAATGAACCTCCAGGTATTTGAAGAGTCACCGTCATTCATCTGCTCAAACTTCATGAAAACTTCTCTGTGAAATGAAGGGCAAAGTGTGGAGATATGTATTTTTCAATTTGTCTATTACCCAGTGAGTGAAACATAAACCTTCGCTGTTCACCCAAGTGAGGGAAAGAAAGAAAGATTTTTTTTTTTGGTCATGGGGTGGGATGTTCTTATGTTTTTATGGATGAAAATGAGGTTACTTCATCCAGGTTGCCTGAGACCTTCATAGAGAGTGAAGACCTGAAAACCAGAGACAGGATCAATGAGCAGGGAAACTGATAAACTGATATTCTTTAGGGTTTATCTGCTACTTTTCACTTCTGTCCCTGCAATTCGAGACTCAATCTCTTGAGTTTCTGGACTATGTTTCTGGAGCATGAGCTCTCGGAAATTCTGGGTCAAATTTTGAAAGCAAACAATTAAAAGAAACTGCTTAAAAGAAAATGGCCAATTTTTATGAAAAAAAAAAAGAAAAGAAAGAAATGGAGTAGTTATACATGCAGATATCCCCTTTATATATGCAAATCTGAGTTTTTGCAGGCAAACACATGCATTTTTGTGGTCTACACAACTTTGAATAGGTGACCCTGTAGTAGGGTGACCATATTTTCCAAAGGGAAAATGGGACACCACACGGGGCTGGTTCGAGACACTCACCCAAGTCCTGCCTCCCGCCCCCAACAAGGCTGTTGCTGGTTGCTCCAGCCTGCCCCCCCGCCTCCCCCACGGCTGTTGCTGGTTGCTCCAACCCTGCCCCCCCTTCCTGTGCTGGGCTGGCATCCCCACTCTCTCCCCCCATGTTCCTCAGCACCACACCCCACTTTTTTTGACAACTGGCAAGAGCAAACGGGACAAATGCCCATTTTTGCCAAAAAAAAGGATGGTTGGGGCAGGGCTTAAAAAAGGGACATATGACTGCCCTACCAAAATGGGACATATGACTGGCCCTACCTGGCCAAAATGGGACATATGACTGCCCTACCCTGTAGCATGTAATGTATCTAAACTGATCTCTACTGGTAGCTGTATGTTTAAACTATGATATTTGACTGTTTACTGACATTTGTTTCAAATCATGAGATAGCAAGTGAGGCAGCAAGATTATGCCACTACTACTTCTGCTTCACAAACATTACCATCTTGGGCCCCGACCCTGCAATGAGCTCTGCACTGGCAGATCCCCAGTGCCTACATAGAGCCTCATTGATTTCCATTAGGCTCTGAACTGGAGGTTAAGCCTTGGTTTTTACACTGATAGCAACACAAGTTTCAGCTGGAAATGATGCTCTGCACTTTCCAACCCTAAACTGCTTTTAGTGTAAGTGGCTACCAGGGTCTGCCCCAAGGACAGCTGTGCTTTTCAGTGGTAGGCAATTCCTGTATATGGTTTGCAGAATGTTTAAGGGCCCTTTGGCGTGAAGGATGCAAGTTATTAATAGTAAAATGTATGGAGACTAACAGACTCTCTATTCAACAAGAGGGGTAAAGCATGTGCACTTGGCTTCATCAGCCATGCAGACCAGATGAACCAGGCTGACTGTGATGAGTAATTCTGTTGTTCTGTTTACACATTGTGGAGTGACTGCCGAATTGGAAAGGTAACAAAGAACTAATATAAGGACATGAAGTAAAATGAACAAATACAGTTGCATAACTGAAGAACCAGAATTTGCAGCTATCTACAGAAAACACTAATGGGCAAAGGTAGAGTTGAATGATTAAAGTGTCCTGCTCATAAAAGCATGTGGAACAAAAGTGGAGCTGATTGCAGGATGGCCATAGGAGGAGAGTTACTCTTGCTTTCCTTGGTATACAATGTATTTAACTGATCTGGTCCATGATAATTTTCCAGGTGCCATCTTCTATCACAGACCACTGCTTAATGAGCTACATTATCATTCTCAGACTTTCTCTTGAATGCCCCCTCTTTCCCATGTTTTCATCTTAGGGCAAGTCTACGCTACAGTGCTACATTAGTGCAACTTCAGTGGTGCTGCTGCGCCACTGTAACATGTCTGGTGAAGATGCGCTATGCCGATGGGAGAGAGTTCTCCCATTGGAATGATTACTCCACTTCAGTGAGAAGTGCTGGTGTGGAAAGGGTGAAACTTGCGTGACTTGGGTGTGTGTGTGTGTGTGCACATTTTCACACCTTTGAG